TTTCTTAAGTTTCCCTTAGAAACTGATAAAAATTATACTGACTATAAGAGAGTAACTTAGCTGACAGGAATTCGTTTCCATTTCCGACGGTTCCTTTTTCTACTGTTTATTTACAGTTAAATGTTAAATCCTTGACTGCTTTGGATATCACATTAAATTCTTATTCGCGTAATATCTTGAACTGTTTACAGTCTTGAAATTAATTCTAGACTGAACAAATTCTAAATTTAACTATCCTGCGTTAATTTTCAGAAATGACGTTGTTTCTGACGGTGTCAACTCCCGAGTTCACATTATACCCTTCTACTATGGGTATTTATCTTCTGACTTTAACCTAACTGTCTGGCAATTAAGGATTTTCTCTTTTTTTAAAAATGTCAGTGCGTTTTTTTTTTACGCTGCTAACATCATGCTGTGTTTGGAGATTCTTGAAATTAAGATTCTCAAACTATACTTGTACTGAAAATACTTCCGCCTTAAAGTACGGCAAGAATTTATCGATCGAATTTACTTGATCGAAAACATGAACTTAACATGAAATCTGCTACAGAATTTAGGAATACATCTATTGATTCCATAAATCCTTCAGTCACATAATATTTTCTAGGAAAATCCTTGGCTTAAATAAATAAATTGTATTATTTAAAGTCTGGAATTTTCTCAGTCATTACAACACAAGTGATTTTACTCTCTTGGTTTGTTTAGAAAACACTTGATTAAGCATCTTTGCTTGAAGGTGTCCATGGCCTATGGACTAATGTTAAGTGGAAACATTTCTGCACTAATTGAGGCCAAATCACCTTAAACCAAAATCCCACTTTGCACCAAGATGGCTCTGTCAAATACATGTCTCCTCTACAAGCACTGTCCACAATTGCCTTTGCACACCCTTCTGCTGACTCAACTGGGATGCCTTTAATTCCAGACTACACAAGGTTTAAAAAAAAAAAATAAATAAAAAAACCAAAACCATAACAAGAAATACCTTTTATCTTTGAAGAAAATGTACAAATTGAGTTAATGATTATGAGGTCATATATTGTAAAAAAAATTACTTAGAGACACCACCGATATTAAGCACCACCATTAATAGAAAGTGGATCTCACTTATAGATTTTATGTCGTGAGATTCATCTTTTATTAGTGGGTGGTGCTCAACACAACTGGTGTGGTCTAGCATTATTCTATATTGTACTAATATATACTCTGCTTATGGTCACTAAAATTTGAAAAATATTTGGGGTACCGTTTGTGCTAAGCATCACCATTAATAAAAAGTGAATCTCGTTTATGAGTCCTATCTTACATGACTTATCTTTTTATTAGTGACAAGTGCTTAGCACCGCATATGTCTGTGACGTTGTTCCTAAAATTTAGGTGGAAAGCATATTATCATCATATTTACCTTTGACCAAAATTGGTCACCTGTCATTTCTGACTCAACCAGGCCAGGAGTAACAATTGTTATTCCAACATCAGAGCCATATTCAGACTTCAATGTCTCAAAAAAGCTTATTTGGGCTGCCTTACTAGCCTGAAAGATAAAGAAATTAGAAAATCTCTGCAATTTATGAGTATTTAAGGCATCTTAGAAGGGTGGTTAGTTCTTACGTTGTAGACACTCAATCTCGGAGGAGAATACCAGGCACCAGATGAAGAAGTAACAACAATCTTTCCTTTGGCTTTTCTTAGGTGTGGAACTGCAAATTGAGTGCAATATACCGAACCCCAAAAGTTTATGTCCTAGTCCAATAAGGTCATACAGAACAGCACTATTAGTGGTGATTTTACCATGGAAAATTCATTTTGGGAATTCTGTTAAAATTTTATGTGAAAGATTTTAGGAGGGTCCTAATTGCAGAGTTTTATTTTCTCCTTTTTAATTTACCAATAAATTTTTTCAAGGGTTAATCTATTATGTGCTCCTGAAATTTTATGGGCATTCTCAGTTTAATTACCACTCGAACTTTAATAACATATTTATTTTATCCTTCGAATTTTAAATTAGTCCCACTCAACTCTTTTTGTTAGAATTTTTGTTTAAAATAAAAAAAAGAAGTTAATCATAGTCATGTAATTTTTTTTTTCTTCTTACAAATTTGTACAGAAAGACTATGCAACCACACAACCTCTTTTTTCCAGTTCATTTATAACATAAAGATTTAAGTGAGACAGAGTAAAAATGGCTCTAAAACTCAAGGCACTGGTGGGAATAATCTCATTTTTGATCTTACAATATCAAAAGCGCGCATATATATATATATATATATATATATATATATATGCAAACATGATAGATGGTACCATAATTGAGCGGATAGCAGATAATTGAGTGGAATCTTCGAACAAGCTAACTTGTAGAACCCCAGCATTGTTCACCAAATGATCCACTGTGGCACGAATATAAAAAAAAACGTAGTTATTCCCAAATCCAAATAAAAAATATTGTCAAATATCCAACACATACTATATGGAAAAAGAAAAATGCACATTTTTTTCCCTTTCATTTTAGTACTCGTACATTGTCCAAAGTGATCCATTGTCTCATCAACTAGCCTCTTGCAGTCTTCAACTTCTGACACATCAGCACAAATCACTATGGCGTCGGGTGATCCCAAACCGACGGCTTTGGTGGCCACCGCCTTAAGCCGCTCCTCTCTTCTCGCCACCAGCGCTAGACTAGCACCTCTCCTTGCATACTCATAAGCCAAATGCTTATATATATTAACAAAAAAAAAAAAAAATTTGATGTACAATTTTAGTAATGTACGTATATGCGTTTATTTGGTTTTGCAAACTATTTGATTCTGCTATAATGTTGCGTATTAACAACAAAATCAATGAGAGAATTGCTTAGAATTAAGAGTGGTACAAACCTCACCAATCCCCGAGGAGCCGCCGGTTATGAGGACAACTTTTCCGGCCAAGTTTTCGGTCGGTTTGAATAAATTTGTGAAGTGCTTAAAGAGCTTGTAGATGAGAAATGGCGGCAGAAAGACGAGTATAGCAATGAGTGCCGCAGGGGGAAGAACTAGGTTTAGGAACTTATGAATCAAATCCATTGCCGAGAGAGAAAGAGATCAATGCTTTTGTTGTGATACACGATGAGAGAGCGGATTATAATTGAAGCAACAATAAACATTAAAAATTAGAAAAAGATTTAGCAAATTAAAATACTGATCATGTACTGTACGGGTAAAGCACCTTATATATTCGTTTCAAGGGAAATTAGGCGATCGATATAACGTAAAAGCATTAAAGTTCTATTGCTAGTGGTATACGTTTTTGAGTTTCTAACATTGGATAAGTCGGAATATTATCATTCCCATGATTAAGATGTGATGTTTGCATGCACTTGCCTGTATATACATGTAACATTTTTATTTTTTATTTTTAATTCTTAGAATTAACGTATGAAAACACATATTCCTATTAATATAATATAGTTTTTATATGAAATGCTTCTTCATAAAAAAAAATTAACAATTTTGATGAACGGTTAAAATTTGTGTCTTACCGAGAATAGATGATGGTACTTTTTCATACTTTACCGCAAAATTCTCTCTCTCTCTTTCTTTCATATTTTGTTTTACATCCCCTTTATTCAATTCCAAAAAAGCCCCATCCTTTGTCTAAGCACTCACCCATAATTGTTCTTTTAATCATTCTTTTTATAGTGTACAAATTGAAATATCACGAATTAGAAGGTAGATTAGACTTTGTTTCTTCTTTGAGGGTAGTTCTTTTTCAAATTCATGCCTAGTAACAATGTTTCTATCTCAATATGTCTAAAGTTCAATTATTTGAGTAAATGGGACTCTTGTAATCTCAAAAACGATATTGGCATGACTAACTAACTCGTAACATTGCTTATGGATTAGAACTTGTCATGGTTTCAATTTAAGATGTCAGCCAACGGGGGAGGGAATATGAATGACAGAGGGTTAACGGCAAGTTCAAAGAGAATTCAAATGGCTCATTTTTTAAGAAATTGTTCCAATTTAAGATGTCAGATCGTGTGTTTCAATTTTTATTTTATTTTATAATGATGGTGTCAAGTATAAAACTATCAATGCACTGTGCCTCCAACATGCCCGTTCGGTTCGCTAATTCGAGTTGAGATGTGATGTTGTGTGAGAGATTTTTACTGTAGCAAAAAAGTTAGATGTGACTGTTTCTGAGAGCTTTTTACTGTAGCAAAACTCGAATCAGCGAAAAGAACATGGCCATTAATTTTGAAATGCATCGATTTGCGTTCTATAATTTCCGGAGTAATGTGCACACTTTAACACTTCTGGAGCCACTAAAAAGACACACAGAGAGCATTCCCTTTTTTATTCTTAAATCAAACAAGGATATTTTTAAACTAATAAGGCATGCCATCGCTTTAGTATTTTTTATTTTATTTTATTGCTGGAAAAGGATTCACTACAGAGTTCTAATGGGATCCAGTGTATTAGTGTTAGTATATCATGGAATCCAATGCATTAGTGCCGGTATGATCGCACCCCGATCATCGATCATTGTAGTATAGTCTTTGAATAATGACCCTTGTACTAACAGAAAAAACTACCACTTGTTCATATTTTAACCATATATGTGTGTCCGGTCATGATTTGTGTTGACCGTAGGGACGGGAAATCTCTTTTCATTATGTGCCACTAGGGGAAAACTCAATGCCAGCTTGGAACTCTCAAATTTTTGCAGTTTATTATCCTTGTGAAGCTTTTTGAAAATGCCAAGAGAATCACAAATCTCGGCTTTGATATGTTGGGACCGGTTGAAAGTCTTGGAGATGGGAGAGAACCAATAGACTTGCCCAAAACAATATTGTTTGAGGTTTTAAATATGTTAAATCTCAATATCCATTATTCTTCACCACCGAGTGAGGTGGCCTAATAGTCTTAGACTATTGTTGTGGGTTTGTGGTCAAAAATTCGAGTACTAGTGACCGTTAATGGTATTAAATGTGAAGATTTGTACATACTAGCCTATTTTAGAGTGTTTGGGACCATACCCCACGTATCTTTACCGTTAGCACATTTGGTGAGGTTGAGGTGACACCCTCCTCGTTTAAGGGTAACATTTGACCTTAGGATCTTCATTAAACATTCCGGTCACCATCTTACATTCTCCTTCTGTAACATTCGAAGAAAATTAACTAACGCTGGTCGCTCTTTCTGATTTTTCTCTGTTGGAAAAAATATCACGTCTCATGATCAGCCTTCGGTTTTACTATGATTTTGATATTAAATTGTTTGATTTCTAGAGTTTAAATTTTCACCCCATTTAATTTTCCTTTTAAAAAAACAAACCAAACAGTGTACTCTTACTAAAGTTAAAATACAACCAAACGACAAGCAAAGAAGCAGAAGCTAAATAACACAAACGACAAGGCAGGGGACCATATCAACTTAGCTGGAGATTCCAACTTGATCTTGGAAGCTAAGCATCTTTGTTTGAAGCCCATGGCATACGGATTAAAGTCAAGTGGAAATAGTATTGAACTAATTGAGGCAAAATGACTTTGAACCAGAATGTGACTCTCCACCAATATGGCTCTGTCAAGTACATCTCTCCCCGGCAAGCGCTTTCCACAATTGCCTTTGCACACATCTCTCCTGACTCAACTGGGAATCCTTTGACTCTAGTCTACACAAGACACAATAATATATTCAAAATTCAGGCCTCGTTCGTTTTGTGGATTCGAGTTAAGATATGATATTTTTTGAGAGTTTTTAATGTAGCAGAAAAAGTTAAATGTGATATTTTCTGAGAGTTTTTAACTGTAGAAACTTAGAATTAAAAAATTAAATCCGTAAAATGAACGAAACTTTAAATAATTAAATATTAAGAACTTTCTTTTATTTTTAACAAAACAAAACTAGTTTTCCTCAATGGCCAAGAGTGAAATCAAGCCAACCAAGAATTAAGGATACCTTTTTTTTTTTGTTTTTTTTTACCTGTGAAAAAAATTCGTCTTTTGTCATTTCTGATTCAATCAGCCCAGGACTGACGATTGTAATTCCAATATCAGAACCAAGCTCAGCCTTTAGTGCCTCAAAAAAACAGAGTTGGGCTGCTTTGCTAGCCTGAAAAATAACAGTTGTAGATCAAGCTACATCAATAGAACCTGATTTTTTTTAAAAAAATGGAAGTATATATATTCCTACAAATATTGAGTTTTTTTTATTATTATTAGATTACATCAAAACAAAAATTTGAATGAACAATTGAGAAAACTTGATAAAGATCTGACGAAAAAAAACCAATGCAATAACGGTAGAGGGATTTTATTTATTTATTTTTCATTCATTTATTATTTATTCATTTTGGTAATTCCTTACACTATAGATGCCCAATCTTGGTGGGCTAAGCCATGCACCAATCGAAGAGATAACCACAATCTTGCCGTTGCCTTTTCTTAGGTGTGGAATTGCAAATTGGGTGCAATAAACTGAACCCCAAAAGTTGATGTCCTGCAAATCATGTATTAATGTGTGATGATCAACCTTCAATAAGTTCGTTAGAGAATTCTGTTGGCTACTTGAAAAGTGATTAATCAAATTAATTTAATACAGATCTAACGGTTAAAAGGTATGGAACACCAGTATTCTAAAAAAAACACCGGAAAAAGTCTAAAAAAAAAAAGACAAAATGAGGGAGAAATAGATGCCTTCTTTGGTATCACTTTTATCGGATGTTATATTTTGAAAAATTGAACCAAAAGAAATAACCGTTAACTAAACAAGCTCAATGAAACAATATAATACCATGATTGAGCGGATTTTAGAGAATTCAGTGAAATCTTCGATCAAGATAGCTTGTAACGCCCCAGCATTGTTAATCAAATAATCCACTGTAGAACAAAAAGGCCGCACCGCATTAATTTATCAACCAATAAATATGAACAAGAAAATATGCCCAAGTGAACATTTTTATGTTACTAGGCACCAGCTCATACATTGTCCGAAGTGGTTCACCGTCTCGTCAACTAGCCGCTTACAGTCTTCAACTTTGGAGACATCTGCACGGATCACAAAGGCGTCCGGTGATCCTAACCCGACGGCTTTCGCTGCCACCGCCCGGAGTCGGTCTTCTCTTCTGGCCGCCAATGCCAGACTTGCTCCTCTTTTTGCATACTCATAGGCCAAATGCTTATTCAAAAAAGAGTTGTGATACGAGTAATATTATAAGCATGATTAGTATTGCTCAAAATTAGGAGACAAAACAAGTAACTCAAAATTAGTAAGAAAAAAAAAGTGCTAAGAGAGAGGTTGCTAATGACACAAACCTCGCCGATTCCCGATGATGCACCGGTAATTAGGACAACTTTTCCGGCCAACTTTTCGGTCTGCCTAAATGCTTTTATGGTGTAATTAAAGAGCTTATAGATAAAAAATGGTGGCAGAAACAAAAGTATAGTAACGAGTGTCAAGAGTGGAAGTACCACGTTTAAGAACTTGTGAATGAAGACCATTTGTAAAGAGGAATTAGAGAGACAATGTGTTTGGTATGAGGGATTAATTAGGGAAGGAAGGAAGGGAAAAAGAAAAAAAGAAAAAAATTGATGAAAAGGGCGTGGAAATCCTTTGTTCGGCAAAGAAACGGAAAGAACAAGAGGTGGTTGCCTTTTCGTGGGCGGCAGGGTAATCCAATCCTTATGGATGGAAACGAGAAGGGGCACTAAGAATGGGTAGACAAGTACAACTTTGCCCTTTACCTTTTTTTTTTTTTTTTTTTTTTTTTTTACGTTTCTTATAAAAACAAAACTTACGGGATGTTTGTTTCCTATATTCGTCATTGATTCTCAATCTTAATTTATAATTCTCTACAGTATTTTTCTCTCATAAAAAACACGTAAAACGAGAATAATTCTGAATCATGATTTTGAATCCATGAACCAAACGTCCACTTAGCTTTTATAGTTCTCGAAAAAAAAAAACTTTAACTTTTATGTGACTCTTTTCTTTTTATTTATTTATTTTAAATAAAATTCACTTTTTATCACATAGTAAATAAAAAGTAATATATATATATATATAAATATAAATAAGTTTATTTATGAAATAAGTTAATAAATTAAGAAGTTCAAAACATTTAAAATATGAGCTATTTTAATTTTAATTAATCAGTTAAAACAAATCAAATAAGTTTATCTATTTAGCATGTTGGTAGTATGGTAATTTTATTACGAAATATCAATAATTCTTTCCTCCTTTACATCTATATTAAACAAAAGAATGGACATTAATAATCTTCCTTCCCTCATATTATACACTTTTAAGTATTTAGGTCTTTATATTGTCTACTTTTTGTATAGTTGTGTGTATTTTTTTTTATGTTCTTTATACGACGTATTTTGTTTAGCTTTTTTTAGGAATTAGGAGTAGGTAATTTGAAAGAGCAAAAAAAAAAAAAAAAAAAAAACTGATTGGATGTCATTGGCAATAGTTGAATGATGGGTTCTCGTGTTTTCAAGATAAGGAAAAACTATTCCATTAAATGAATGACGAGAGAAGAGAAGTAATTCTCCAATCAGAAGCTCAATAGCTCATTGTCAATATTCTTTGTCCATTATGAGTTGTACATATGACAAACATTTGAATTGTGAATAGAGACAAACTAATTTCATCTACCATCTAGGACACATCGAAGCATTAATAAGAAATTTAATTTTCATTTTTATTTGGCTCTCCAATTCTTAAGCCCTTCATTTGTACAGATTTCAAGTTATCCCGCAATGGACAAATAGCTACTTATGTTAAATTTTACACAAATTTTAAGTTATCATGCAATTGACTAATATATAATTTAAATTTTAAAAATTCTGTGTCAAGAAGGGAGAAGAAAAGTATAGATAACGATCATCAAGGAAAGACGCGACGATGCAGGTGCATGATATGCGTGGAGCAGGGCTCGAGAGTAAGGTTTTGTTTTACAGAAATTAAAGGATATTAGGCCTAACTCAACCTAGTAAACCGGCTTGTTAGATGCCAATATCTCCAGTCAATGTGAACTTTTAATAAACCGATGTAAATAAGTCGATATTAAGGGACCCAACATTGTAAAACTGGGTCTGCTCTGATACCATTTTACAGAAATCAAATGATATTAGGCCTAATTCAACCTAACAAACCGGCTTGTTAGGAGAGAATTACTATCACTTTTTAAGTGGATCGTGTCAATATCTCCAACTAATGTGAGATTCTAATAGAGTTGGATCAATTTTTTTGTTATGCCATGAAAGATCAAGAAACTTATTTGAATATTGAAATGATCTCACGCCACATTAAAAAATAAAGAAAAGAAAAAAAAGAAAAAAACAAATATTTAGCATGGTTCAATAATGTGCACATCTGCGACTAGAAAAGGAGGAAGAATTCACTATAAAAAGCATTATAAATAAACTCCCTATAAATACTAGTTACAATCACTGCATTGCATAAGATATCTAAATTATCAAAATATCCCTCGCTCAAGAGATTTTCTAGCTTGAAATTAGATACAAATAAGTCAAAACTCAAATAAAGATAACAATATATAAAATATTTAACTTTTCTTAATAAAACTGGGGCATTTTCCAACTAAAAAACATTGTTCTCCTGGAAAGGCTCTTCAAGCACCAACGAAAGATCAACGTTTAGATCCTCTACTTGACTCATTTAAAACAATGGTTATACAAAGTATCAGGAAAAAAAGGAGAAGAAGAAAAGAAAGAATAATAAAAATAAAGATAAATATGAGAAAAAAAATCTAAGGTAAAAGACAGGGAGGAAGAAGACAAAAAAAAAAATTTAAGAAAATAATTTGTACGAAATGTTTCGCAACTGAAGCTGAAATTTATGAAGATCATAGGAAAAAAATGTTTATGTAGGCACATAGAATAAATTAATTTAGTATGATAATTAGAAAAAAAATAATATTTTAAATAATCGTAAAAAAATTAAATGAGATGTATTTAAAAATAAATAAAATCAAAGGTTGAAAGATGCAATAAATAAGAGATAAGGAGGAAAAAATGAAAAGAAAAAGAAAAACTAAAAAAGAAAAGAAAATGAAATAAAATAAAAAGTAAAAAAAGTAAAAAAAAAAAAAAAGAAAAAAAAAAGAGGGGGGCAACGAAACGTGCACCCCTAAGAAACAGATTCTCTCTTAGTATTTAAGTGTAGATATAATGATTTTGGCTTCCGGTTCAAAAATTACTTCCTTTCTTGTCGATTTATTCTGAAATTTAAAAAAGCTTTTTTTTTTTTTTTTTTACTTGAGTTAAGTAATTACAAAAATTCAAATTAATAAGGTTAGTTGTCGAAATCTGAAAAGTTTAAGAGAGAACATGTATTGAGAGAGAGGTTACTAATACAAACCTCACCAATTCCTGACGATGCACCGGTAATTAGGACAACTTTTCCGGCCAATTTTTCGGTCTGTCTAAATGCTTTTATGGAGTACTTAAAGAGCTTATAGATCAGAAATGGTGGCAGAAAGAGAAGTATAGTAACAGTGCCGAGGGAAGTACTACGTTTAAGCTCAAGTTCCATAAACTATAACTTCTATATAATTTACTTTTGTAAAGTTTTTTGCGTACTATATATCTAATTAAACTACGAATATATGTTGCCAAAAAATAGAAAACAAAAAAAAAAACTGATTGAATGTCATTTGGAAATATTTAAAAAAATGAAGCAAAAGTACTTCTCCAACCAAATAAGCTCATCGTTAGTGTCGAAGCATTATTGGAGTGACATACGGTAACACGATAAAAACAATTAACTCCCTCATGAAAGATTAAAATGATTTAACTATATTGTCTACAGAAGAAGAAAATTATTGAATAATCTATACATTTAATTAATAATTTCGATATTCAGCTAATCACGCAAGAATAATGATTTTGGCACATATTTAATTGATTTTTTTAATCATTTTGAATTATAAATTTTCTAAAATATTAAGAAAGGCCCTATCAAAAGGGTTTGTTGAGGCCCTTCGGTCGGCAGGATTGTGTTATTTATATTCCTTTTTGCTTAAATTAATTCTCTAAATAATTCATAAAATTTACTTTCATTTTCACTTTAATTCTTAATTAGTCTCACTTTAAACTTTTAAAACTTCTCACAGTGAGTCCTTAAAATTTTATTTTATCTCATCTCAAGACATTTTGATCAAAATTAAAAACAGTTAAAATATCTTTAAAATTTAACTTTTATGTTTTTATATTATTTTAATGCCTAAACTTTAAAAATTAACTTCTGTGTTTTTATATTATTTTAATGCCTAAACTTTAAAAATTAACTTGTGTTTTTATATTATTTTAATGCCTAAACTTTATATGTTTCTAAGTCTAAACCCTAATTTCCATAATTTCCATAGACTTCATCAAAATTTGATAACTAATTTTAGAAATTAACTTGAGTTTTTTTTTTTTTCAAAAATTTTTACACCCCTATTTACTATACACAATATTTCCTTTTCTTTTTTGTTTTTTTTGTTTTTTTTAAAACAAAATCATTATATTACTAGTAAAAGCATAATACTCAAAAGGGAAAAACGTAACAAACTTCTTTGCATATATACTAACACAAAACCTTTTGACGCCCGGAGACAAACAGAAGAAACTCCATATACACAACAAAACCGTCCTTTTTTTTCTTTTTCCTTTTCTTGTTAGAAGCATAATAAACACAACAAAAAAAGGTTGTACGAGACTAAGAGCACAAAGCACACCTACACAACAACAACAAATACCACGTAGCACTAATAATGCTAAACACCACCCACTGATAGCGGAACCCGGAACCCCACAACAGGCGGAACCTCACAACGGGCGGCACACAACTACTATCAATGCGCTTACCGTCCCACAACGGGCAGCACACACCTACTATCAACGGGCGGCACACAATTACTATCAATGCACTTACCGTCCCACAACGGGCAGCACACACCAACTATTAGTGCTTAACACGGACAGTACCCTAAGTATTTTTCACGTGTCTACCAACATTTATTGACTTGACCAAGCAAGTGGATTACATATTATACATAGAAATTATATCCCCTCTAATTTGTCAATCAGTCTTATCCTGATCTTCCGCAGTCTCATCATGATCTTCCACAGTCACATCATGATCTTCCGCAGTCTCATCATGATCTTCCGGAGCTTGGAGGGTAGATGGATAGGGAACATTCTTAGCCCCGGTGAAATCGACAATTTTCTTGGCTGGAGCTTCTGTGGCCGATTTTCCAGGCCTACCGAGGTAGAAAAATCTGAAGCCCCACTCGAGAACTTCAGGGCAAAACACCTTCCAAATATACGACACCTTGAACCATGGCGGCTCCGTCAAGTACCTTTGTCCTCTTAGAGTGCTCTTCACTATTGATTTTGCGCAGGCTCGCACTGTCCTTATCGGAACTGCACTTATTTGGGCCTATTATACATCGACAATCGGCAACAATTAATATCAATATTGTTTAAATATTGTTAATGAAGTATAAATAAACGACTACTAATATTCAAATAACACGTAACGTTTTAAACAAGAGCAACATTAGAACATGAACCATGATTTTTTTTTTTTCTGTCCTTATTTGTGTCCATACAATGAAAGCAACTCACCCCATAATGAAATATTCGATGAAGTGATTTGGTGTTTATCTTGATGATCCATTATGGCTTTGTTCCTACTCGTTCAATTAATTAAATTTTATAAGCTTCATTTTGAGCATCTTTTTTTAGGACTTTCCAATGAGGTTTTATCAGCAAGTGAAAATCTTACATCTCTTACATCTGGATCAATTATCATTTTTCCTTCTTGGTCAAGGAATTTGCCTTGAGTGAGTTCGGACTCTATGAAACCAGGGGTCACAATTGTTATGTTGACAACGGATCCTAATTCAACCCTCAGTGTCTCAAACATTGTTAACAATGCTGCTTTGCTTGCCTGAGAGAACACCAAAGAATTGTATTCAACACAAAATTGGTGAAAACAAAATAAAAGAAACTATAAAAACAAGTGTATTTATATGTTCAACAAATATTTGCATACGTTGTAGATGCTCATTCTTGGCGTAGGCAACCAGGAAGCAGAGGAAGAAAGCACTACGATCTTGCCTCTGCTGTTTCTAAGACGTGGGATTGCAAAACGTGTCGTATAGACCGAACCCCAGAAGTTTGTATCCTGCAAACGACAACAAAATTAAACACTTAAAGTTTCTATAAAGATGTGTCTATCATAATGCATATAGTCAGTTAATTACTTCATTATTGTAGAAGAATACTAAGTTTCAATGTATCTTACAGTTTAGTTGAAACGCATAAGTTAATGTGGAGAGCTATAGTTCAACATTTAGACCTTAGGAGTCTTGATTGGTTACCATGTACTAATTTTCTCCTCAACTAAATTAATTTTGAAGTAAATAATTACAAGAAAGAAGAGTTATTAGAAGGTACCATAAGCGCTCTAAAAGCAGTGATGTTGGTTATTTCTTCAAACATAGAGACAGAGCTTATTCCAGCATTGTTCACAAGATGGTCCACTGCAATCAACCGCATACTCAATCATGCCATAACGGCGTATATATCACAGTATTGCTACAACAAATTTTCATAAACTTAAACAGCACAAATTAAGCCTTTATATTAGCTAGATATATATTCTCTTTTTCACTTTAATATATTTCATTATTTATACATAATATGTTAAGATCCTAATTGAGTCCCGCATTGTTAAAGTATGGACAAAACATGTGAGTTTATAACCATTTAGCACCATCTCTTTACAAACTAGCTTTTAAAGATGAATTCTACCCAAGGATTATAACAATTAGTATCAGAACATGCTCCTCCTCATGCCCATGTTGCGAAAATGGCGACCTGAAGAGGGGCAATCTGAAAAGGCCAGTGTGGGCTATCCAATGTGGGCCATCCAGAGTGAGCCGTTGAGCCGTCGTAGACGTCGGTATCAAAAGCGTGATGATATGTTAAGATCTTGATTGAGTCTTAGACTGAAAAGGCCAGTGTGGGCTATCCAGTGTGAGCCATCAGCCGTCGTGAACGTCAGTATTGAAAGCGTGATGATATTTTAAGATCTTGATCGAGTCTTAGACTTAAGATGTGAGTTTATAACCACTTATAAACACTCTCCTTGCAAACTATCTTTTAGAGATGGGTTCTATTTTAGAGTTATAACAGAAAATGAGATGGATATGAGATGATAGGGTCCATCTAGGGGATAAATTCTACCTAAGGTATAACAAAATATGAGATGGATATGAGATGGTAGGATCCATCTGGTGCGAGTACGGAAAGATTAATACTAACATTTCTCGTAAGAAAGATAATTGAGCTATCTGAGTTGTTTTCAATGTATAAGTCCTGGGTTTAGTTCCAGAGAAATAATTCATAATAGGTGCCCAAAAAAAAAGAAAGAAAGAAAGAAAGAAAGAAAGATATATGTGTATGTATTTATCATATATACTTACGTCTCCCAAAGTGATCCATAGTCTCATCAACAATCCTCTTACAGTCTTCAACCTTGGAAACATCAGCAACAATCATAAGCACATCAGGTGAGCCAATGTCTCGAGCTTGTTCCACAACATCTCTAAGCCGGTCTTCCCTCCGGGCAACAAGAGCCAAACAAGCCCCTCTACTACCATATTCATAAGCCAAATGCTGCAAAAATACACAACACTTCTCAAGTTCTACCCAAAAACAATTAAAAATAAAAATAAAACAAGTACTCAACAACTAGACTGAATTGACTTTTTTTTTCCCTAAACTATAGGTAGGAAAATCTCATTTCAGCCTCTAACAGCGTTAATTCATAAACTTGTAACGCACCATTTTCACCACACAAAAAAAAAAAAAAAAAAAAAAAAGCACACACACAGAGACAGTTAACTGCTAGTCTCTCAACTTTTAGATAATAATATTATGATTTTTTTTTTGTTTTTTTTTGTTTACAAATGTGACTAAAATGACGTATCCACTATTGTTTGGGGACCAAACATAAACTTAATCCAAACAGAAATCATTACCAATAACAAACCCATTTTTGCCAAAATCATGAATATCCATTTACACATCTAAATTCCCTGGTTTCTAAAGGACAAGAATTCGGTGTTGGCTACTTGACTTGTTTATTTACCTCACCAATTCCTGAGGAAGCCCCAGTTATAAGAACCACTTTCCCAGCAATATTCTCACTGAAAACATAGCTCAAGAGGAATTGGCAGAACTTGAAAAACAGGAAAGGTGGATAGAAGAGGAAGAGTGAGAAGAATGTGAAAGTTGGAGCTGTCAAATTCAAAAACTTGTGGATTAGTTCCACCATGGCTGTAGATTTTTTTTTTCTCTGTTTTTTTCCCTTAAAAATATCAAAGAAAAAAGATGATATGGGTACCTCTAGATCACCTTTTAGGGTGTGTATAAATAGAGCATGAAAAATGCCACAAAAGTCTAGAAGAGAGTAGAAGGTGGTGGCGAGTTTGCATGGCAAGGGCACGACACGTTTTTGATTAAGTACACCTCTAAATGATGTCACGTTTTTCATTAAGCATACCTCTAAATGATGTCACGTTTTTGTCTTGTAACTCTCTCTTTACTATACATGTTTTTATTTTCTTTTATTCTTTCCAAACGGTGGAAAAAACTCTCGACATTTTTTTTATGAATTTTCATATTTGCTCGGTTAAGTAGTTGTTTGGTTAGAGAATTCGTATCCTGATTTAAACTATGATTCTTGGTTTGTTACAGTGTTTTCTCTCATAAAAAATATACGTAAATTAAAAATAATTTTAATCCACGAACCAAACGTCTCCTAAATTATTATAGTCGTTTATTTTACTGATTTAAATTAAAAATTTAAATTTTATTATAATAAAAAATTCTTAAAAATAATTATTTTTAATTTTTAATTTAAATTTTAACTCACCAACTAAACAAGTCTTATATTATTCTCATCTTCCATGGTGAAATTTTTGGTTTTTGAGAACCACGCTTGGATGTATTAGTTGCATTTTGTAAGTGGGGTTTGGTTTAGATTCCTTGATTAGTTGAAAAACGCTAATTATTTTAAGTGGACGTTTGATTCATGGATTCAGAATCATGATTTAGAATAATTTTTTATTTATGTATGTTTTTTTGTGAGAGAAAATATTGTAACGAATCACGAACTATAATTCGAATCATTGACATGAATATAGCAACCAAATAACCCATTAGTGATGATAATGATCTTCTCTCTTTTTTAAGTGTTATTATGCGATTTTACTATGTCATAATGTGATTTTGTAATTGTGATGGATGGTACTAATCCTCTATTTTTAATTCTGAATTGCAATTAGAGAAAACTCTTGTCACTTTAAAGGTCCGTTTAATTTATTAATTTGAGTTTTTAATTTAAATTAAGATATTACTTTAATGCAGACTTAAGACTAAAGACTGAGGTCAACCATAGAAATCTAGATAAGTTTGGTACCTAAATAGCCCAAAAGAAAAGATCTAGAGAATAGGGGCCTACCCAAATATTGAACCCAACAATGGCCCAAATATATCCATTTCCCGCCACCCTAGTAAAAATAAAATAAACAACCAAGAGAAACAGGAAAAAAAAATGAAGTTGTAATAGATTTGGCTGGTCCACAACACAATCTAGGTAAAATGCCAAGGCAAATGGACTAGTGATGTTGCATAGAAGACTTGGACAGGAAACAAAAAGTTCTTTTTTGAAAAAAAAAAAAAAAAAAAAAAAGTTATTGCTTGACTCCCCTTCTTTGAGGTGCATCATATAAATAGCATCCTTTTTACATGTATTTAAGCTTTTTCAGTCAATATACTTGTTGAATCAAATATAGAGGCTCGGTAAGGCGATAACCATACCATTTCTCGGTTTAAAGGGATCAGATTCCTAAACAAGATTTATGGTCGAGAATCAAATTTTCTTTTCCTTTTATGCCCAACTAAGGTGATGTTATGTCTCACCTTATTTTGAACAAATGTAAGAAGCTTGTTTCCTAGCTAGAAAAGTGCAAAATCATCAACATATAGATGCATAATACATACATATATGTATATATGTACTATATTTGTTTATTATTTTTGGTGAACAGTTTATTTCCTTCCAAGAAGCTTTGTAGATTACACAAGGGATATTAATTTGTATATGCATTCACACCATATCTAGTTACTACAAATGTAACTTCCACATGAGTGGATGACTATCTGTTATTGCAAAACCAGTCTGCAAAGACCAAAAAAAAAAAAAAAAAAAAAAAAAAAAAACAATGCAAAAAAAAAAAAAAAAAAAAAAAAAAAAAAAAAAAAAAGATATTCATGTGTTTAGCTTAAGCTACAAGCCAAAAATACTCATTTACTAAATAGATCCCCTCCTGATCACTTCATTTTACATAGAGAATTACCATTTTTATATTTTGACAATTCTTTTCCTCCATTCAACATCACAAAGCAATTCTCTAGCCTCAAATATCCTCTGCTTGTTGACCCTCGCAATGAAATCATCAGCCCTTTTCTTCAAATCCTCAGTAGGCAAAGTAACCCCACCATAATCATCATCTAAATCCTTGTATATCTTCCTTCTTGTTTTCACCTCCAACTTTGCTTTATATTCACAAATAAACCCCTTTGTTTCGTCTTCTTCAATAATGCACTTCTCTTTCTTCTCTTGAGGAGCTGAAAATTTCTGCAGATTCCTTTTCCTGCTTATGTACTCTTCAAAGTAAGCCTCACTAGGTGGAGAAGTGTCTGAGGAGAAGATTTTGGATTCTCCTATGAGGGCAAAAATGATAAGATTTCCTAGTACGAAAACAAACTTGGAGCTAAAGAAAACTGACTTGAGTTTTGGGACATAGACAAAGAAAAGAACCTCCATGGAAGAAGATATAGTGGGAAGCCAGAAAGGAGTGGAGTAAAATAGAAGAGCCAATCCTGTCATGGAATAGAGGAAGAGATTCTTCAGAAGCTGATTCATTTTGTACTTCTTGATTGCATTAATCTTCTCAATCTTGATGGAATCCATTTTTTTGTTCAAGTAGTGTTCTGAAAAAAAAAAAAAAGGGACAAAGGCCAAACTGGTATTGGGCAAAAGGACTAGAGAGATTTGAGAGGAAGAGTTCAAGGCCAAGACCCAGAAAACATGATGGAGATTTTCATCTGCCTGCCATGAGTTAATCTGAAGACTGCCCTATATACTGGGGGATTTGGGGTTAGTTTGGTAATTAGAATTAATCACATGCGACTTTATTTGTAGTTAATTTGAACTGATGATGACTTTTTGAAAAGCTATGGGAGATTAGTTAGAGTTTACTTTTGTGTTTCAGGCTACCCCTACTTTTCCTTCTTCTTACTTATTTCAAAATCAACCAAAAATTTCTTTTGAAATTATTGTCAAGGTCACCTTTTAATATAGGAAATCATTTTCCATCAATTGTATCCAAAAATAAAATTCTCAAATTCCATGATAATAATTCCTACTAAAAGACCAATGAGCATCCATAAGTACTATTAGAGCTATAATAGGTTTTTAATAATTACTGCCTTTGTTATTTTATAGACTATTATCATTAGCGTCCCATGAATTTTAGGTTTATTCTCTTTCTTAATTTGCCATCAAACTTTAAAAATTCTCACTTTACCTTTTAAATTTTAAATTCTTCCCACTTAATCCTTTTTGTTAGAAATTTTTGTTAAAAACATATGACCAAATAGGGCGTTAAATATGGTCATGTGGTCTTTGTTCATTTTTTTATAATAGAAATTCAAACAAAAAGCCACGTGATAGTATCACTCACTTTTTTTCTCTCTGTGTTTTTAACTGAAATTCTAACATAAAAGGTTAAGCGGGAAGAATTCAAAATTTAGGAGGCAAAGTGATAGTTTTTAAGGTTCACGAGGCGAATTGAGAATGACTCTAAAATTCATGGACAATAGTTATAATAATCATTATTTTATCATTTAAAGTATATGTATTTCATTTAAAGTGGCTAATTTATTAATTACAAAGATGAATATATTGGAGGGAAGCTTCTGGGATGTGCTTAAGTAATTGTGTGAAAAACAAAAGAGTGAAACTCTTTTGTGATGTTGGGATATTATCTTTCTCCACATCTGGTAAAGCAAAATTCCCACTTAAAAAAGGCATTCACATTTCCTTTTTCTTTAGAGGGGTGTTTGATTAAAGTAGTTGTTAGCTTTTCCTCTCCATAATTCTATTAGTAAAGGCCACATTGTGAAGTGCGACTCAAAAGGGGGAGGTGCAGAAGAGACATGAGAAGTTGGTTATTAAAGTGTAATGTCTAGTTAAAAAATAATCAAATGGCAGACTTTAATAATAGAGCTAAAAAGTCTGCTGATATTTTACTCCCGGATCCAATTATACAACCATAATCAAAATCTTGATCAACTAATTATAATGTGATAAACTATTTCTGCTACTTTTTTCTGCCTTATCGCATTGATTTTTTTGTTATATATTTAGTTGCAAAGATATTGTGTTAAGAGTTAACGGATTCTTATCTGCAGAAACCTCATACACAACAAGTGAATTAGGCACAAGAGAATATCATAAATAGTGACAATTGAAAGATATAAAATTATATCTCAGATTTGTGATTAACATAAATTCATTAGGAACTCAAACTTTTATAAACATATATATTTATACACTCATATATACATACATATATATGGGGTTAAGGAAGGGACATTGCACTTTTAGAGATTCAAAGGTGGAAAGAATTCCAATCACATTAACTAGGAAGGTGATTAGTGAAGGGCCTTGGGACCTGGGTCCTCTTTATTGTTAAAAAAGTAAATAAAGCAAAAGAATGTCCTTTTAATTATTTGCATAGCCACTGTAGTTGGTTCTGTGAAAAGAGTAAAGACATCTCTGAAATGAATGGAGATATGCTAATTTATGAAGACATCTCTGAAATGAATGAGTTTATGTGCTCATTCGTGAATGTGTGTTGGGATTGGGGGACAAGTGAAAGGAAGAGAGAGAGAGAGTAAATTAAACACAGAGGAATGGCATGATGTTTCTATATATGCATTTGAATCAAATGATCAATAAGGAATTATTCAGTCCACCGGGTTAATCACGTCATATTATTTATATAGTATACCCGTACAATAAGATTGTATCATTTAGATATTTTGTCTATGTCAGTTTTTCACTTTTATTTTTCTCTTTCTTAATAGGTATTTGCATTAAATACCTGTTAAGAAAGTGAAAAATAAAAGTGAAAAATTGACATACACAAAATATCTAAATGGTACAATCTCATAGGACGAGTGTATATAATGTGGTACACCCGGTGCACTGAATAATTCCTCATGATCAATAATCATCATGAAGATTACAAAAAAAAAAAAAAAAAAAAAAAAAGAAACCTTAAGAAAAAAAACATAAAAAAAAATAAAAAAAAAAAAAAAAAAAAAAAAAGGAAAAAAGTCATTTGGACAACAGTTTTGTACTTGCATGCACTAATTTGTACGAGTATAAAAACATATTTGAAAGTTTATTCTAGTTTTACTTTCAAAACACAAAAGAAGATATAACATGAGCCTGAATAATTGATCTTGGTTCAAAGGTGACATGAAACAGAACTTAAGAGATAATAATGTTAAGCAATTAAAATCAAGCATAGACATTAAGCTATTAAATATTTATGTATCATCCCGCATAATATGTGAATTATTTATGGACAAGTGGGGAAGAGTTAGGCATATTGGAGTACTGAAAGTGACTTGGGTAGATTGATAAAAGGAGCATAATACCACGATGTGTTTGTTTTTCTTCTTTCTTTTGCCTATGAAACTACACAGCAGCAACACAAAAGAGAAAGAAGGTGTATATAATAAATCGGGATTGTTTATTTGGCTCAAGTCATTCTTAAGTTTTGCCTAGTAGACGGCTCTTCCGGGCCAAAAGAAGCAAAAATGCGCCTTTTCTTTTGTTGTTATTATTATTATATTATTTTTCCTTTTAAGTGCCATATTCTTATTGTGTGTTTAAAATACTGGGTGATTCTTCCTGATCCTACTTGCATGTATATTTTAGTACATATAACGTACACTAAAATAATTAGACCGTATTTGAAATTGATCTCATTTTTATTTCTTACGTTTTTTGAGAAAGAAAAAATAAAAAAACGTTTTTAAAACGGTATTTGGCGCAATAAAGATAAAAACCAGAAATGAAAACGATTTTTTGGTCTAGTGTAAAATGAGAGAAAAATAAAAAATAATTTTTAGTCGTTTTTCATTTTTTGTTTTCGTTTTCTCTTCTCTCGAGCAGAGAGAGAGAAAGAGAGACATTAACGGGTTTTTTTACACTGAAAATAAGCTCATGATAAAACTACTACACGCATTTTTAAAAATAATTTTTGTCTGAGATTGAAAACGTTTTCATTTTCATTTTCATACAAAAAATAAAATCATTTTGGAACGAGTTCCAAACACGTCCTTAAAGTATCGGTCATTTCACTAATTCGAGTTTTTAATTTTAATTTTATTACAATTAAAAACTCTCATAAAAAATAACATATATTTTTCCTGTTACAATAAAAAATTTTCATATAAAATTAAATCCCAGCGAATTAACGAACTAAATAAGTTCCAAGTATATATCGGTACTAATAGAAATCCAATCCTAGTTTGCAAGTAATGAAACCAGAAAAGAAAATTCATTATACGAGCTGAAAAGCCATTTATTGCTGACACAAAAGGTACGAGATGCCAAGTACCTTGGCATTTTTCCGGTCTTCAAACAAAAGCAGAGATACATTTTAGCACAGGGGGTACTTGAACTGTGGATCCATAAATATTCTATACCTGCGAGAGAATTAGAATAAACATGTTAATATCGGATTAGAATTTTTTATTTTATTTTATTTTTTAAAGAATAACTTTAGGAAGACAAGAAATCTCAGGTAACATGTAGTATCTCTTACAAAGGAAAAATGCTAGTTTTGACCACTAATAACAATCATTATTGCTTTTTTAACCACTAAGACATTTACATATAGGGAAGTGTTGTGGATCCGTGATAATCCATGGATCCTAAAGTTGACATGTGCTGAATTTATGATTAATTATAATAGTATGGTGATGAGGAACAAGGATATATTACAAGGAAGATCAATATAATTAATATATAAAGTAGTATTAATTTTAATTTCTTGATATTTTATTAATAATATTAAATATTCATATTCTCTTTATTGTTCACCTCCCTCTCCAACTTCCAAAAACTCTCACCTTTTCTCCAAATTTTCTTTCTTTTTTTTTTCCTCCAGAAGAGAAGTTGGTGTCATCTCTTTCAAATCGACAACAAGGTTCTTGAATAGAATCTCAATGTCAAATTTCAGGTCCATTTCCAAGTTTGGCATTGAATGAATCTCGGCAAGTTTCCCTCTCCAACTTCCACAAAACTCTCACATTTTCTCTAAATTTGCTTCTTCTTTTTTTTTTTTCCCTTCAGAAGAGAAGTTGGTGTCATCTCTTTCAAATCGACATCAAGGTTCTTGAATAGAATCTCAATGTCACATTTCAGGTCCATTTCCAAGTTTGGCATTGAATGAATCTCAGCAAGTTTCCCCCTCCTCCAATGCCTTTCTAATCAAAGATTTGGGATCTATGTCAAGAGCCCGCAAGCATTGATTCCTTCCAATTGTTAATTTATTGTTAATTTCATTAAGGAAGAGAACCTTGCAGTTGTCGTAGGTGTCTCGGACGATCTCTTTCTTTTAAGTCCCTTTGATCAACATTTTCCAGGAATTTCAAGTACAAATCATGAAAGGTTCTCTTGCTCTTTTCATAACCATATATTGCGCGAACCACGGATATCTCAGTAAATTCCTTTGCTTGAGCTTCAATATTAGCAGCTGAAATGTTGGTGATCATGAATGAGATTTTGTCCAGACCCTCTGATGCTGGAACCTCAGTGGGAGTTTTTCTTTTTCTCAGCAGCAGCAACCGATGTTTCGACGATGCTGAATGAGCATTGGCCAGATCGGAAATCTGCAAGATGTGCTTTCCGTATTGCGGCCACTCGATAACACGATCGACAAACTGCTCCAAGGCCTTAGTCCTAAACACAAACATCTTAGACGTTTCACCATGCATCCAAAACCGCATGAAGAGCAATGCCAAGTGTAAGATGAGTTACAAGGTGGTTCTTGATAAGAGAGCCAAAAAGAATGGCAACGAGTTTCAATTTCCTTTTAGGATAATTGAGGAACAATTTGTACTCCTCAAACAGATTAGCAATCATGACTCCAAAAACTAACTTCTCCCTTCTAACAGACGATTTCTTGAACCGCGCTAACATTTTCACCATTACATCATTTTTCAACCGACCAAAAAACATATGGTGGAAATAATAGTTGCCTTCAGCTTCCAATTTTTCGCCTTTAGATTATATCCCACCATTTCCAGTTCCTCCAAAACATGGCTATAACTCGGCGATCCGACATGAAATTTGAGGACCTTCAAAAGGGTCCTAGTAGTAGCATCTAGAGGTTCAAACTGAATCACCTTTAAGAAACTGAGGCAGTCTGCAAAGAAACCAACTTTGTAGCCTCTTATATTTCACCGATTCGAGTTTTCAATTTCAATTTTAAAACTCTCATAAAAAATTACATTTAACTTTTTCTGCTAGTTAAGAGTTCTCATGTAAAGTCACGAATTAAAAACTCGAATCGGTGAAGGAGGTATGTATTTACTCAAATCACTGATAAACCATTTCTCAAGGTCTACAAGCTCTTTTCTGGAAGCAATAGCGGCCAACTTGATAATAAAGAGAGACGGAACCAGATGTAATACAGACGACAGAATCTATTTCTCTTGGCAGATATCAAGAATTTCCGTAAAGATATCATCTTTCAGCTGCACAAAAGATAGAATCTTCAAAAATGAATCTAAAAGCCCTGAGAGGCATTCAGATTGCTGGAAAAACGAGATGATACTAAGAATTTGCTCACGAGAATTGGGATTATCGGGATCGGCGGCACACAATTCCTCGATCCGAGCCACGTAAAAGTTCTTGCCACAAATCCTGATGTCGAAGTTTTCAGAATTGGACAAAGCAAGACCAATACAAATTTTCTCAGGCAACGATAGGTGTAATGCGTCAGAGAAATTCTCTATGGTTCCATGGCTGATCTTGGATTCCCTCAGTGACTTGCGAAGCACGGTACAAAAATTTGGTCTTACCAGGAGATTTCTGAAGATCGACGCGACCACCTTCTCCAATGGCGGATTCTTCGGCTCCGTCTTGTGCCGATTCAGATTATCAAAGCATGCTTTGAGCAGAACAATGCTTTTCTCGGTTCCGAGTTTAATAAACTGAGAGAGGTTGTGAAGAACAGAGTCGGCATTTGCTTTGGTGAGACTCTGAAGAAGGGAGAGAATCTCGTTCGCAGTGGTTGATGGAACTTTCGCCATTGCGAAACGACGACGAGCTAGGGTTTTGGCCAGAGAGAGAAAGAAGTAGAGCGAGAGAGGTTACAGTGGATGGTAGAGAGGAGAGAGAGAGAGAGAGAGAGAGAGAGAGAGACGAGTCTGAGAGGAGTGAGATAGAGGCTCCTCCCTCGGAATCTTGAATGAATCTTGCGTTCAAGATTCACCTAAAGTTGCCCCATAAAATTTTAACGGGTCCATTTCATAACTTTTTTCCAAACATATATATATATATATATATATATATTTTTTAGAATTTTTTAAATGTTCTCTCTTTTTTAGAACACCAGTGTTTCTTTCTTATCAATCGTTAAATATGTATTACTTTTTTAATTTAATTTGACTTTTAACCAGATTTAATATAGATCCGACAGATGATAAGCAGAGAATACCAGTGTCCCGAAAAAGAGAAAACACCAGAAAAAGTCTCATTTTTTTGTCATTTTGAAAATGAGTTAATTGCACTGTTGCACCTTATATTTTTCATTTTTTGCATAATACATCTCAAGTCAAGATCAGTGTCAGGGGTAGACAGACAGGCTAAGTCCGATGTTAGCATTGAGGTAGAGATGCAACAATGGGCCGGAGCCATGGGCTAGCCCAGGCCCATCCTGACACAGTGATGGGTCGGGCCGGCACGGCCTGTCACTGTTCAAGGCACGGCCCAACCCATAAATATTGGTGGGCTGGGTTGGGCCAACATATATCGGCCCATGGGCTGCCCCATCACGGCCCATGAAAAAGCATGGGCCAGGCCGAGCTTGGCCGGACTGGGCCAGCCCGTCTAGGCCCATGATGGGCCGGCCCAGCCCGGCCCGTCTAGGCCCATAATGGGCCGGCCCAGCCAAGCTCATCTAGTCCCATAATATCTTCATTTTTTTCTTTTTTTAGTAATTTTGTAAACATCTTATGTATAATTATCCTGATTGTACTCTTTTTTCCTTACCAAGGTTTTGTCCCACTAGGTTTTCTTTAGATGGTTTTTATTTATGAAGTAATCATAAATAAAATATCTCTTTTTATATTTCTATTGACTATTCGAACTTATATATTTGTTAACTTGTTTAAAAATTTAAAATTTAAAAATTTAAAAATTTAAAAATTACATGCTTAGATGGGTTGACCCATCTAAACTCATGATGGGCCTTGAGTGCGCCAGCCCATTCAAAACTCATGACACGGCCCATCCTGACCCGCGGCACAGCCTATCCTGACCCATGTAAAATTAGCCCGTGGTGTGGGCTGAGCCGAAATCATTCTTATACGGATCGGCCCGATCTGCAACCCACGTAAGCCTAAGGAAAACGGACCGGACCGGCCCATTCTTGCATCTCGAGGCAACATTTTGAGACCGTCCTTGGGGTCATACCATAACACCATTGAGTTAGGCAACAGGGTAGGACGATGTCAGGGCTGAGACCATTGAGTTTGGTCTAAGACTGGCTTCAGGGCCCGACTCCAAATGGCGATTTCAGTTCGTGCCAACGATAGTTCTACGATGCTTGGTCCCTAACTTGTCCACTCGATCTCGGCATTGGTCTTGGCCCACCTACCTGGCTTTGGTGGTAGTTTCTACTTGTCAGCTCAAACTCGACACCTGTCCCCACTTAGTGGCCAACAATGTTCTTTGTTTTTTGTTGTAAAAATATGTAGCACAAAATATTAGTTACCAAACTTTTTTGTTTTTGTTTTTGGTATTTAAAGTATATATGACAATTGCAATTAAACATGTTTTTTTAAAAAAATGAAAAACAAAAATGAGAGAAAAGTTTTTTTTAAAGAAAATTAAAAACAAAAATGTTACCCACTAAGGTCTATATGTTCTCTTATTTCTTTTGAATCTGATGCGATTTACTTGATTTTCTTACTAATAAAAACTGTGGGATTGGTTTTTTAAGTTTTAACTTGAGGTCGAATTTTTTAACTAAAAAAGAGTGACGAGGTACAAGGATATATTATGAGAAAGATCAACATAATAAGCATATAAAGTAGTAATATGTTTAACTTCTTAATAATATTTTATTAGCTTCATTGAGTTTTCTAAAACAATTTTGGTAAGTTTTTTTTAATTTACCAATAATTTGGTAGTTTCCATTATTTGTTTGTTTATTTTTTGTAGTTATTTTCTTTCTATATAAATAGAGATAAACATTATATATCGTCCTAATTCAAACTAAATTACTCATTGAATAATGATGTTGAATATTTATAGCTTTCCTTTATCTTATTGTTCACCGTTTTCTCTGTCTAAATTAGTTTTCATCTATTTCCGTCGCTTTCTCTCTTTATTCTCTTTCTTTCTCAACTGCCAATCTGCCATACGTCATAAGGTGATGATCGCCATGTATAACATTAGTGGGATTGTCCATTGTGACTTACAAAGTTTAAGTCCATAATTGGTTGGAGGGTTTTAGGTAGACTCGAACCGGAAAACTTATTTGCATAATATTTTGAATTTGAATTTAGATTTTAAACTCAAAATTGAAGGTCTTCAAACCCCCCCAAAAAAAAAAAAAAAAAAAAAAAAAAGAAGACGAAAATGTGATGGTTCTAACGCAGCTCAAAAAGTTTCTCACAAACTATTTTCACACATTTTTTAAAAATCCACAGTTTTAATAATGTAATTAAATATTAGTTCAAACTTTGTTTTTTTTTTTTTAAATTTTCTACTATCAAATACCAATTTAAAAAAAAAAAAAAAAAAAACTCACATATAAGTTTAAACCCACACGCAATTAAACCTGCAAAACAAACAGGCAAAGTGTGAATCCGTGTGGCACAAGTTGAATTGGCTTTTAGACTGCCAGTCTCCTCCCTCAAAGAGATTCCTACATTTGTCTACCAAAATCTTGTAAAGGTTATATGATTTATCAAAAAGAAGTGGAGCCAAGTCTCATCCTAATCCTATGGTTGGTCTCCAAAAGTCCCCTAGATGATGTTTTGTTATTGTTTTGGCAAATGATGATTTACAGTCAGAAACCATGTAGTTAACCGAAAGTTTTCAGTGGGGTCTGTTCTAAATCTGAAATGGCCCCATTCATAAGCCCTTCATGTCAATCCAATACTATTAAAATCTCATATTAGTTAGAGATATTAACATGATCCACTTAATAAGGTGATGATAATTATCTCCTAACAAGCCAGTTTTTTTAGGTTGAGTTAAGCCCAATATCATTTAATTTCTGTAAAATGGTATCAGAGAATGCCCAATTTTACAATATTAGGACCACCAATATCAACTTATTCACAGCGGTTTGGCATGGTTCACGCTGTGCGTGAGAAAGTGTATTAGAATCTCATATTAGCTGAAAATATTAGTATGATCAACTTAATAAGGTGAGGATAATCCTCCTCTAACAAACCGGTTTTCGTTGAGCCACTCCAATTAGATATTACGGATTAGTTACATAATAATGCAAAGACATACAAAAATACCACTCAAAATAAACTATGTTAACATATATGCCACTCTTAACATCTATATCACCAATTGACAAAAAAAAATATCACGATAGGACGCTTTCATGTCTTATCATATTCTTTCTTCTTCTCTATAAAGATGACCGCATATCTCCGACTCTATCTTTAAAGAGAATTCTGATAGAATATCAAAATTAATAAAAATAGCCAGACACCATATGGTATTAATGTAAAATTGTTGGATTCTAGTGTCATATTGTGTAATTTTCTCTAAAAGGTATATTTATGCAGTTAATTTTAATTATTTCTCAATTTGTTTCATTTTTATTTTTATAAACTAAAAAGGTTTCCTTTAGATTTAATAAATTTATTACAAATGTATCATTCACGCACTTTTTGATAGAAAATTAGAGTAAGGGGAAAAAAGCTATCAATTAGTTTACGAAAAGTTTTTTAAACATTTAAAAACAAGAAAAAAAAAGAAAATTATTGAATTTATTTTTAAAAGTGCATGAGTCTGGATTTTTATTTCTTACTCTTGATTAATACCTTTTACTAATATAGTTATTTGACTAAAAAGAGTATGAATTAAAAATAAGGGGTAAAAATTCAGATCTTTATATTTTTAAAGGGTATTTGTCTTATTTCCCCAAAAATGTCCTAAAACAAACCATAAAATGATCTCAAAATTTTATGTTCTTTCAAATGTTTGAAATATTTTTCAGAAACCTCTCTTAAAATACAATATTTATTGGAAATAAATACGAACTATGTAAGGGTATTTTTATCTTTTCTCATTTTTTTTCTGTTATAAGTACACAATGTATGAAATTAAAAAAAAAAGCTTTTTTTAATTAATGAATATTCTTTGTCACATCAAAAAATAAAGAGGTAAACTGTGAAAAAAATAAATAAATTAAGGAGGAACATTTATGTAATTACTCCCTAGATATTAATTAGCCTCGAGTACTTTTGGAATCAAATGCAATAACTTGGTTCAAGGAAGAAGCTGCTTTTTTTTGGTTTTCTCATTTGTGCGCGGTACTTGAAAAGGACTATATAACAAAATCTTAAAACCGAAACCAACCGTCACCGATCGAAGAACCGACCGCTCAAAAATTGAAAAAGACAGTGTCATGTGAAACTGAAGATAGTCGGTTCGGTTAACCGACTGAACTGCCTCAATCGGTTCAGTTTCGGTTATGCCATTGAGGTTCGGTTAACCGGCGGGTTGGGGCCTAATGTGTGCGGCCACGAATGCCGGACCAGAAAACCCGCTCCGTGCGAGCTACATTTTACAATTTTTCTTTTTATTTTTCCCATCAGAAATCCGAAACTGCTGCATTAGTTTTTGTTTAACTCTGCATTAGCATTAACCTACATTATTGGCTGGTTAATGGATAATTTACTTTCAAATGAAGACATACTTTGGAGTAGGTTCTTCAGGGGCTGTAACCTCTGAATTAAGCACCATTAATCCGAGAATAAATCCGGATTTATACACCATAATGTCATGGTGTAACACCCGGATTTTGGAGCCTATATAAAGGGCCCTCTCCAACCATTTGAACATACAACAATTTCCAGAAATCACTTGCTCTCTCTCAGTTTCTCTTTTGTTCCGGAAGTCTTTGTGTTTTTCCTTGTTAGTTTTGTTTTTGGTGATAGAGGGAAGATCTAGTTCGAGTTCGCCAGACGGTTCCGAAAGTGCATCGAGCTACCGTCGTTGTCGTGGTATCTTGGGAGACGGACGTCCAACATAACCTCAAGCACACGCCGGAGGGGACGAATCTGTTTTAAGGAAAACGTGATCCACGTGCCTCGACATCCTTGCAACTTCCAATTCCGAATTTGGTAGAAAGGTTGAATTTACAATTGTATGAATTTCGGTTTTGTTCTTCCTTAACTTGTTCCTCTTTTGTATTATCCACTATTTGGGTTAACACATTCAATGAACAAATTACAATGCATAGCCGACCTCCAATGGAATATCACACATCAGTTTCCCCACTTTCCCTTTCATTAATAGCAATTGTATATAGTCGAAGTTATAATAGAGTAGCTTGTCATAAACTGGTCCTTTTTTTCCCCCTTATCTTCACATGATTCAATATTTCTGATAAATCTTCTTAGCTTTCAAACGACATCATTTGTCACAAAACACAAAGTATTCTCACAATTTGCATAATCTTTGTTGCCTTTTACAAGTTTCATGTTTGTAAACAGTAAACACAGAGTATATGCAAGTACAAATACTTAAATTAATCAATATTTTAAAACTCAAATTAGTACTGAGTTTTAGGTATTAGGTTATGATGTTTAATTATTATTGGTATACATTTTAGTATTGATATACTTTTTTTTTCCATTATCTATTTAATTTGTTTTACACTTGTGGTGACTTTCTAGTTTATACTTTAGCTTTTGAATATTGAATTTTAATATTTTATATTTGTGGTATTATCAATTTAGATGCTGTATTTTATTTTTATTTATTGTGATCACAAATTTACATAGAATGAAAGTTTTACATTTTTTCAAATTTTTTATAAAAAAATACAACTAAAGATATTGATAACTTGATGGTTTACTGATAGCTACCTTCCTGATTACTAAAATTAAAAATTAATTAAAAATTAAAATTCAGTTAATCGAACCGACTACTCTCTTATGCGGTTCAATTTTGGTACACTATTTTAAAAAATCGATATAATCAGTTCGGCCACCGAACCTATTAAAACCGACGAACAACCCTTACATAACACAAGAAAAATGATGCTTGTTACGGGAAAAGGTTGTTTCATGACACATGCAATCAAAAAGAAACTTATCAATAATAACTAAACTTGAATTAAACAATAAATTTATGAAATTTACGGAAGTTTAATATTTCATAATAAAAGCTTTACATTATTGCTCTTAAGAGAATTCATATTTCAGCATATAATTGATGTGGTCCTTTATTGTCTTTTTGTTGCCGGCCGTACTTGAGATTTTTTATTCATCACCATCTGAAACCCATTATTATCTTGCAGAAGTATACTCTAAAATCTTGGACAACTCATGATTTCCGTTCCGCGAATGAAGACAAATACCCGGTCTAAATTATCCATAAAAAATTACTTTTTATTCTTAATTAAAATCCTTTTAATTAAAAATATATCAATTAAAAAAATAAAATCAAGACCGCCTAAAATAATTTTGCAAATGGAATAATTTTATCTTCGATTTACAAGCCAAGCCTATTCTTTTCCCCTCCTCCCTTTTCCTTTTTCAATTCTTGTTGGCTAATGCCTCATAACTATAATCTCTTATTATTTAGAAATATTCTCATAATAATTGGCAACTTATTTAGACTAAGAGAGAGAGATGGAGACCCTTTCAAACGTAAAATTAAAGTAGGATTAGACGGTGAATTACATCATGGTCCTAAAATCTCATTCATTTCACCAATTTAAATTTTTAATTTTAAATTTCTACAGTAAAAAATTTTTATAAAATATCACATCTAATTTTTTCTATTATAGTAAAAAAATTCTTAAAATATATCACATCTCAATTCAAATTAAAAACTCGAATCCGCAGGTTAAACATAAATTACCCAAAAAAGATTTTCAACAAATAAGGATTATTAATTTGTGGTCTTAATACGGCATACATGTGGCTGATATTAAAGTAGCTGATGAAGGATCGCAAAAGCCTTACAAGGAGTAACGTGTACATTGTTAAAGATCAATTTACAACCGGAAAGTAAACATGGGACCAACAAAAACAAAAGTGGGAAAAAGAAAGGAGTTTCCGAGTCTTGAATGAGAAGGTCAAGATCCTCGGAAAAGCTAGTTGTGCCTTCTCTAAGAAGCCTCATGCTCACCCTGTCCATGCACATCGCAACAATCACAAAAATATTAAAAAAAAAAAAATGATTAAAATAAGTCAATAATCTCAATTAAAAATAGCGGGACTCTTTCAATTTAAATTTAAAATTTAAATTTTATTACAATAAAAAATTATAAAAAATAATCACATTAAAATTTTTTTTATTAAAATAAAAAACCCACATAAAATTTGGGGTTATTTAGTTTAGGAATTCGTTTCGAATCATAGTTCGTGAATCGTTACAGTATTTTTTTTCATAAAATACACGTAAATTAAAAATAATTATAATCACATAATTTTAATCTATGAACTAAACATATCCAATTTCAGTGGTTGTTTAGTTAGAAAATTTATACCCCGATTTGAATCATGATTCATTATTTATTACAGTATTTTCTAAAAAAAAAATACACATAAATTAAAAATAATTTTAATTTTATAATTTTAATCTGAAGCAAACGTCTCCTCAATCTCGAATTAAAAAATTAAAAAGTAAACGGCCCTTAAAAAAATACAAATTGGGAGTGTTGGAAATATCAAAGCACAAGGAATGAATAGTTAGAACTCACTTTCTTGGGGATGATGAAATCCACAAACTTGTTCTTCCCTTTCCCATTGGGGGACTTGTGATGAGGGCCATGCCCTTTATACTTCTTGATATTCTCCCTCACAAATCTCTCATACAAGAAAGCTGCCCCTTTGAACTGTGGAAGAACCAACCATGCCACAAACACCAACTTCACATCGTACCAAATTGGTATCCTGCAAATATATATATATATATATATATATATATATATCAGCTTCAATATTAAGCTCTCCCATAATACCCTTCTTCTTTTAACATTTCCCTAAAATAAAGAAAATATTAAGAAAATCACAAAATTTTGAAAGCTTTTTTTCCCTTACCAATCGAGAGCTGGTTGAATTACCATTTCCACAAGAGTGAGGAACGAGTACAAGATCCAATAAGCCAGCCACTGCTCGTCATCTAGTTTTGATGTGCTCTCTATGGCCACAATAGATGCATACCTATAATATTTAAAAAAAAAAAAAAAACACATATAAACTCATCAGAAAAATCAATAATACCCAGAAAAAGAGACTTCATGTTTAGCAAAATACTTAAAGTAGTAGCAATAGTAGTCTTCCTTACAAGGGGTAAAGCAGTGTCAAACTTGGCCTGAAAAAAGTAAAAAAAATAAAAAAAATTAGCCAAATAAGTAGGAAGACGAATATGTCTAATTCATTAAAAAAAAAAAATAGAATAAAAGTTTTACATACCCAGCAAGTGAGTGGACTTGGGTGAGAAAAGTCCCGAATTTTCCCATGATATCAAAATAACAAAACAAACTAAGCCACAAGCAAAAAACAGTGAATAGATTTGGGTGGTGGAGAAGAAAACTGCTCGCAAGAACGACAACACCAAATTAAGGACAAAGTTTGGAACTCTTGGGAGAGGACCCTACTTACTTATAGTTGAAAATGAAAAAGGACACGTGGCAACGTAGAGCCAGTATCGGATTCTGCGTCACACGTGTCGAACTAGATTTAACACCGTCCAAAATTAGATCAGATTCATAGGCTAAAAGAGGCAAAGCCTGCCATTTTAATTAATGAAATGTCTTCAAGCAAAAAAAAAAAAAAAAAAAGAAGAAGAAATTAATGAAATGTCTCTTTTGATTCTTTGCCCCACCCACAAGCCACGTGTAAGTAAGAAGGTCGGTAACGCGTGCCTAGAGATAATGGGCCCAAGTATATTAGGCCGGTTTTGTGTTTACAATGGCCGACGACCTTTTGTACAAAATGTAATGAGTGATGATTTATATTGTGACCATTTGCTATTAATTGATGATCTTGTTGAATGTGGCTCCAATCTAAATGGTGACTAAACCCATTCCTTGTGCTTCGAAGGGGTAAGAGAATGTCTATCTTGGGCCATCCAAATGGTGACCAATGTTGGGCTTACATTACATAATATTTTATGAGAGAAAGAGAAAAATAGATAAAGATTCGAGATAAATTAAAATTAATTGGTTAATAGTTTATATAAGTTAATAAATAGGTTAAATTATTATTTTTGTCTATAATTTGTCTGGTTATGAACCATAACTTGATAAGTTATTCACGGTTTTTGTCCATAACTTGTATGGCTATGAACCATAACTTGATAAATTTATCCATAACTTATTTAGTTATGAACTATAACTTGACAAGTTATAACCTATTAATTTTTATAACTAAAAATTAGCCTATATATTTTCTTAAGCTTTTCATATTGGCCTATTTTCTACTATTTTTCAATATTTTATTGGACCAAATGCCAAACCGTTTCTTATGCTTAGGGGGGAATGCACATATATGTTTCATAAAATTGTTAAAGTTACTCTTTAGAGTTTAGAGTGTGTGAATTTAAACTTTTATTTTTTTTATTTTTAATTAATATAATTATTTAATTAAAAAAGATTTAAGAGTAAGAGATAAAAATTTAGACTCATGCACTCTAAGAAATATTTGTCTCTTTTTCTCTAAATGTTCGAGAGAAAATTGTTAAACTTACTCTTAAAGCGTAATAGTCTAAATTTTTACCTCTCACTCTTAATTAATACTCTTTTAATTAATATAATTATTTAACTAAAAAATATATTAATTAAAAGTAAAGAATAAAAATTTAAACTCATACACTCTTAAAAAGTATTTATCTCCTTATATATGTTTTCTTAGGTTTCTTATAGTTATAATTAACTTTTTTTTCCTCAAGTTAAAAAAAGGAAGGGGTCGTTGAGGTTAGCATATCTCTTTAAATATCAACGCTGACAAGAATATTTACAGGAGGTGGGTGGGGCACGTGTGAGCATAATTTTAGACTTGTTAAATTGATTACTGAGTTAGTAAGAATAATCCTTCACATTTAAGGCCTTCAAAGAAGGTCATCATGATCAAATACTCATCTTTGACCACAAATCTACTCACGGTAATTCTTTATCATTACTATTAGGCCACCACACACAGTCGTGATTATTATCACCGGTGTCCTCTGAATTTTGAGTTTGTTGATATCTGATTTTATACCAGCACATTCAACGGTATTGGGCTCGCTTCGTAGACCCAAGTCACGCTTGGGGAACTCCCGTGGGTTGTAATTTGGTGGGCCACGTATGATCAAGTAAGCCCGTTTGTCATTTAATTCGATCCAATTTGAATCTCACTTGAGGGTTTTCAGAATTAATCGGATTAAATATAAATAGGTGATGAAGAATTCTTAAAAAGCCTTCCCCTCATCCTTTTGGAAGCCCAAAATCCCTAATTCCAGACATGCCTAATGGAGGCTCCCTCTATGGCAGGCATGTCTTTCGTAGCATCATCTTCATATCTACGTATGCCTAACGGAGCCTTTTTTCATGTCAAACATCCTTCCTTTGGACCTCTTCTCGCTGAGCCCACTATCAGAGCAATATTCTCTTGGAGCATGCTCACCCTTCGGAGCAGCTTTCGTTTGGAGCACACTCACCGTCAGAGCAGCTTCATTCGAAGCAATTTTCGTGTCAGAGCCAACTTGATGGTTGCTTAGCAAATATTGTATAAACCATCTCTGACAATGTCTGACATACGACCAGACCTCCGAAATAGGAAGTCAACAAAGCACAAAGTTAAGTCAAACACTCTTGAGAACTTCAGACCTTGGAACTCTTCAGGTCAGCTCCAAATTCAGAACTTTGCCTCCAAGTCTTTTCATTTTTGGGTATTTTCTTTGTCAATCCGGAAAGTCACTTTGTCACCTTGCTCCAAAGAGAATTGCATGCATAGGTCTCCGTCAGAGTGCTGCCAATTGGGCTTTGGAGCAGCCACCATGAACTTTTCTTTTCATTTTCGGACAAACTCTTTTTCAACTCCGGAAAGGCTTCTGGTAACTTTGCTCCATTTGGATCGCGTATACATGCTTCCTTCAGAGCGCCGCCAATTCATCCCTAAAGCAAGCTCCCAGAAGTCTTCATTCCATTTTTAGATGATCTCTTATTTCACTCCAGAAAGGTGTCAGAAGGCTTTGCTCCATCGGGATTGCTTGTGCAGGCGTCCGTCAGAACACACCATACGAACCTCCGGAGCTGCCGCCAAAATCTTACCATCTTTACCTATAAGTACCCTCATCTTCCTCATTCCGGAAGAAGAAAACATGAAACCTTTGAGCCCCTCTCTCCTTCATAAGGTGAATCCATCATCACCAGTCACTATCTTCCTCCTCTTCAAATTACTCTCTCTCTCTCTCTCTCTTCCTTCTTTCAGACTTCTCTAGTCTCTTGCTACAGAGACTTGGTGTTCTTCAAGATCATCAAAGCATCCAAGTGTTGACAGCCTTGAAAACTTTTCTAAAACACTTTTCGATGCATTTCCACACCAACTTAAAACTCTTCGAAAGTTTCTTCATACATTTTCCAGCAACGTTCAAGTCTTCATTTTTAGGGTCACTTTTGCTCACTGTTGAAGCAAGTGCTTCGAGCATCGTTCTCATTCCCAGAGCAACATGCGCTGCTTTTGGAGATCTTTTCACCAAAGCCTTATCCACCTCACTCACTTCACTCTCACTCTCTTCCAAGCCTTATCCACCACTTGAATCACCATCTTCGCTCCTGGAGTAGCTCACGCTTGTCTCCAAAGCACTGCTCTACCAAGGCACCTTCGGCCTCCTCTTCTCTACCTCCATCAACTACTTAGTCGCACCGCCCACCATTCTTCATCTCCAAAGTTCTTTCATTTGTGTTTGCGGATTCTCTAACATATTTTGCAGGGTATTTTCGTCATTTTGACAACAAAGAAGGTCCTAGGACACGCGTCCTTCGGCCTAACCGACCCCACTTCTTCGCCAGAGGTCCCGCCATCATCATCTACTTCGAAGCTCGGCCACGTTGGATCCGCTTCTGGCAAACCGCATGCTTACACATGTCAAACCCCCGACACGTTGACTCTCCGAATCTACCGGACCCCGACAAGGTTAATTCTTAGTTTGTCCCGAACTTTAAAAACTCTCACTTTGTCCGTAAATTTTAAATTGTTCCCACTTAACCCCTTATATTGGAATTTTTGTTAAAAACAGATAGAAAAAAAAGAGTAATGTAGTCACGTGATTTTTATATTTGAATGTCTGTTAAAACTAAATGGATAAAAACCACATTACCACACTTAATCTCTTTTTTTGGACATGATTTTAATAGAAATTCTTACAAAACAACTTAAATGAGACTAATCCAAAATTCAAACAATAATCCTTGTCATAAGATAACACAAACATTCACATCAGTCAACCGTGTGTTTTTGAGTTTCAAATTTGTGTCCTGGTGGTGTGTTTCAAGTGTTGTAACCGAACTTCCACAATATAATGTTTTGACAAATTCGGGTTCGTCATATAATGTTTAACTTCCACAATATTCCTCATTAACAGTAAAAACACTTTCTACTTAGTTTCTTATCTGTCACTTCTCACTTGTGCATCCTACTTCCCAATTTGTAGGGACTTGATGGCAAGATGTGAAAGCTCTTAAACTTAAAAGTTGTCAAAAGATAAATTAGTATTACCAATTATAGTTCCATCATTTAGTTTTAGTAAATCCTATAATTTTCTTCAACGATATCTTAAACGTACACGCTATTTTTAGAATGTCCATATTTCCCAGCAAACATGGCACTGAAACCGAGTGGTGGTGACCACCATACAATAATCCAAATGACCCTATAATTAACAACTGTCTTGTTTTTTAATCTTGCAAATAAGGCAACTACATTTCTCTCCATTGGCGTGTAAACCAGCTAAAATTGCTGACATCCTCCTTTCTCCCCCACCCATTAGAAGTGGTTGAGCTGCAAATCTATTGTCCTCTAATAAACAAATTCCCCAAAACTTTTTCCAAAGAAAATTTTCACTTTCCTCCATTATTTGCCTTAAAAAACTCTCTAATTGAATCTTCTCTTTATTTGGTGGTTACAACCACTAACGTTTAACAAATATTTTCTTTAATTCAACAAAGCAACATGAGCTAGAAGCTTTCACTAGACCTTGATTCATTTTCACATTAAGTTTTGTTGGGAATTTTCTTTAATCCATGTCATTATAAACCAAATGTAACACTTTGCAATGGCGTCAATGGCATCAATAATAGCTAGTGTAAGATTACTCAACAGTCCAAGAAATCTGTTGATCAAGGATGAGAAGAACAATGCCGCAATCGAGTTGAAACAGCGACGCCTTTCGGTGATGGCAATTGGTAGGAGTACTCCACATAGTGTGGACAGCATCAATGAAAAGAAGGTGAATGGGATTAATGTGGGAGATAAATCCCCATTAGTAATAGGCAACAAAAAGAATGAGATTTTGAAAGATGGAAGTATAGATACACCTATACATGCATATTTGCTTGGACAATTTGTGGAGGACAGGTTTGTTTACAGACAGACCTTTATTATCAGGTCCTATGAAACTGGACCTGATAAAACTGCTACCATGGAAACCCTACTGAATTTGCTTCAGGTATATATGCTATGTTTTTTTATCATTAAACGTTACACCCACAATTAGTATCATATCATAACTTAATATCAAAATATATCCACAATGGATCTCATTGAAAAAAAAAAAATGTTACTTCTAATTAAAAAGCAATGAATGTGCAGGAAACAGCTCTGAATCATGTGGCAAGCTCTGGCCTCGCCGGGAATGGCTTCGGAGCCACCCGTGAGATGAGCCTCCGGAAACTTATTTGGGTTGTCACACGTATCCATATTCAAGTACAGAGATATAGTTGTTGGTATGTTATTTTATATACCCTATAAGAAACTTTTAGCATGCATTTTTAAAAAAAAAAAAAAAAAAAAATTGTCTTCTTCAGTGTTGATATAGAAGTAGAATTTGAATGTGTGTGACAGGGGAGATGTAGTTGAGATTGATACTTGGGTGGATGCACAAGGGAAAAATGGAATGCGAAGAGACTGGATAATCCGAGACTACCATACTAGAGAAATCATAACTAGAGCAACAAGGTAAAACAAATTTTTTTTTTTTTTTTCTTAATGTTACTATAATGAGAATCATATCAGATCAAATAGAATAGTACGAAAATTTAGCAAAATCGTACGAGGATTCGATGATTAACAACTACATAGTACTAGTAACGTTTTTTTTTTCTTTTTTTTTATGAGTTTTTAGCACATTTATCCGATGATTTATAACTACAAAGTAATAGCACGCGTTTTTTGTTGCTTAATTGTTCAACATGCATGACGTTCTTGTAGCACTTGGGTGATCATGAATAGAGAAACAAGAAGATTGTCCAAGATTCCTGAACAAGTGAGAGAAGAAGTTGCACCATTTTACCTGCGCAGAGCAGCAATTGCCACAGAAAAGAATGACAATGAAAAGATTGACAAACTCACTGATGAAACTGCCGAGAGAATCCGGACTGGTTTAGCAGTAAGTAGTGTGTATATATATAGATGAAACTATTAAAACTTTGCGTGTGTGCGCGCGCTCATATTTATATATTTCGCTGAATATATATTCATGCCATTGACTGAATTGTTTCATTGCAATTGCAACATCAGCCAAGATGGAGTGATATGGATGCTAATCAGCACGTAAACAATGTAAAATACATTGGTTGGATTCTGGAGGTACTTCTCAAATTTCAATAGCTTTAAATTCTTACAGAATTAAGCACAAAATAACATGATTTTGCTATTTTCGCGGTTTGCTTTTGGTTTGTAAAAAGAAAAAAAGAAAAAAGAAAAACCCAACAAAATGAGCACAAAAATGGATAGCCTTAGAGAAGGATATAACAATCGAATTCCAAATGATTTATCATTTTTCTTGTATCAAGTGACGTGATAAGGGAATTGTCATTTATAAATTACTAAATATATTTATGTATAGGAAGAAATCAATCGTCACGTCAACATTTGGTACTAGAACTTATCTTTTTTTGCTTCATTTTTTTTTTTTGGGTACTAAATCAGTTGTCATTAAGACATGATTTTGCTTCATCTTTTTGTTTTTATCTTTCCGACTTCATTTTTGTAAATAGTGAAAAGCCCAGCAAAATGAGCACAAAAAACGATGCTTTTATATACAAAGCTAACCATCTTAGATATGCCAATGCAGAGTGTGCCAATGATTGTGTTGGAACATTATGATCTCACAAGCATGACTCTTGAGTACAGAAGAGAATGTAGGCAATCAAATCTTCTTGAATCCTTGACAAGTCCCACACCAAAAGTGGCTTTTGAAGACTCAAACAATAACTCAATCAACCGTAGACCAGACATTGAATACACACACATGCTCCGCATGCAAGCTGATAAGGCAGAGATTGTAAGGGCAAGAACAGAATGGCATTCCAAACAAACTCATATATATTGATATATATATATATATATATATATATGAACCAAATCAAACGTGCCTAATTCTTCATTTTACTTTTTTTTTTTATTCTCCTCTCAGATTTACACTTTTTTTTTTGTTTGGTATTTGCAATTTTTTTTTCTGAGTTGTTGTATCATCAGGGCCATGTATAAATTTTTAGATGCACTTCCTGTTTGACAGTACATTTAGTAGAATCTTTATTAATGAGCCATGAAAAAAATTAGATAAGGGGAATAAATACTTCTTCATTCATGTCTATCAAGTCCCAATCACATTAAAAAATGGGGTTATAAAAGAAGCAGAAGCCTGCAAGTTTAACATTAGATAATAAATGAAATCAAGTATTTAAGAAAGGCATAGAAACTAGTGTCGGTTCCCCAATAAATAAGAGCAATCAATACACTCAAAAATATTTTGAAAAAAATGGAGAATTTAGCAGGTGCATGAATCTGAATTTTTACCTCTTATTCTTAATAAATACCCTTTTATTAGTGTAATTATTTAATTAAAAAGATGAATTAAAAATAAAGTGTAAAAATCATAACTCATCCGTATAGTTTTAAAGAGTGTTTGTAATATTACTCAAAATGTTTTCAACAAGCCCATTATGAGTTTAGTATATCCTGGGCCTGTAGTTCAATGAAGAAGTCCGTAGTTGCCAGAAGGGCCATGGCCCACATGAGCTCTATGATCTGCTATGAGCCTAAATCACTAAACTACAAGTCTACCATGCAACATCATTAGAGGAATTCTAGCCAAAACAAAAAAAACGGAAATAGTAAAAAATAGGCCAATATGAAAAGTTTAAGAAAGTATATAGGCCAATTTTTAGTTATAGAAATTAATAGGTCATAACTTGTCAAGTTATGGTTCATAACCAGATAAGCTATGGACAAAAACTGTGAATAACTTGTCAAGTTATGGTTCATAACCAGACAAGTTATGGACGAAAACAATAATTTGGCCTATTTATTAACTTATGTAAACTATTGACCTGTTAATTTTAATTCATCTCAAGTCTTGGCCTATTTTTCTCTTTCTCAAAAAAAATAAAAATCGTTAGATGAATGACTAAAGCACAAGTCTTGTAACATTTTCTTGAAAAATTTGCTTTACTTTCTTATAGAAAATATTAACTTATAAAACGGCATAATTGTAGGAAAATAATACAAAACTGAAGGGAAGTTAAGGAGTAGACTCCATAATTTTTTTTTCCTTTACACTGGAACTTTTTGTTTGTGCAGTCACTAATTAGCGATGGACGAATTACTTTGTCCGATTAAACTTTTTGAGTTATTTTATCAAACATCCAAAAAAAATTTGAATTGTCAAGATTTTCATAGATCACGTTTTCAACACTTGAAAATGCATCACGTGATACTATCAAATTTGACTCATTTGTAAAGAACTCATTTTTTTGAAGGAAGAAGAAGAAAAAAAAAATTAATAATATGCATTTTATATGAAAACAGAACTCCACGGTTCTCCCTCTCTTTTTGCTGAAATCATGACTGTCACTGTTCAAACGAAGGACAAAATAATGTATAGAAACAATAGTACATGGTGGAGACCCAACTACTTCTCCCCTTACCTTTGCAATTTCGTCACGTAACTACAACTACATAGATAGGATCTAAAAGTTTACCATCAACAAGATAGGATCTAATGTCCATCCAATGATTCAATGGGAAGAACTGTAGAGTTTTCACTTTTTAAGGAAGATAATTTATAAGGCTATTGAAAAACATATAATCAATTCAGCTCTCTCATTTGAGTCTTTAATTTGAGTTTATATGTAAATTTTTGTAAAAAAATTTTATCGTAGCAAAAAAATAAATGTGATTGTTTGTGAGAGTTTTTTACTGTAACAAACTGAAATTGAAAACTCAAATCAAAAAGCTAAAATATTTTTCTTTATATTACCAAGTGAGATATTCTTCATTTGGCTCGTTTAAATTGAGAACTTGAATTAAAAAAGTGAACTCATATGAGAGAAAACATTATAATAAAAAAAATTAAATTTGAGTTGTAATTCGAGCTAACAAAACAAAATCGGCCTTTATTTTTCAAGTCAAAACCCAAGATAAAACCATTGCTGCACTTATCAAGCTACCCGGAAAAAGAGAGAGGAAAAAAGAAGTACTAAACTAGATTATATATATATATATATATATATATATATATATATATATATATGCACACACACACATAAATGTATATACTTAACTATATGATTGTTAATATATTTATGGCATGTTTCAATAAGTTCTAGCCATATAAATTTTTCCCCATCATACTTAATAACGACCTAGCTATTCAGACAAACTAATTGTGTGTATAGGCCAATAGACTTGGAGTAAGTTTAAGTCTTCTAATTAATCTTAGAAAAAGACATGGCATTCCTAAGATATAAAAGAAGAAGAAATTAATGCAAAAATGCTGATCGGTTTGAACTCAATAAATCAGCTATTGTATGATTTTAGGTATGTCCCTACATAATAATAATACTCAGACTTTTAGGGTATACTGTGTCCTTGTCTCAGACAAGATCAAAGAGTGTTGTACCCTTTGCCCTTTTCTGACGGAGGAAAGTTCCTATGTACATTTCTTAGCTGTTTCATCATCAACGCCATGAAAATTTGCCTCACTGCGACTGCCTTATATATATATATATGCACACACACGTTGTGGAATCTATAATTCTCACTTTAATATCAAAAAATAAAACCATCAAAATTCGAATCATAATGGACGATACAAGCATAAACTCGGTACCTAATCACTTAAACGAGTTTTAAGTGGTCAAAAATTCACAGTTCAATGAATTAGGGATCAAAGGAGAGAGAATTTAGAAAGAATGACGGCGTCGGCCGGACAAAAATGAGTCCAATAACTAAACGCACTAGTGTCATTACGTAAAAGAGCATCTTCTAATAGTATTATTGTTTTTCATCATTTCACGTGTGTTTATGAAGTAAAAACCTAATAAAAACCTCTCTCAAACTCCGTCTTCTTTGTATTTGGCCTTCTTTTTACTCTTATTCCTTCTGAATTGTGATCATCGCGTTCATGCTTGAGATGGTACTACTTTTCGTCAATATTCATTGTCTTACTTTCCTTTTCTCGCAACCAAAAAAAAAAAAAAAAAGTACTACACAAAACACTTTTGACCTAGCTAATTAAGCCAAGAGAAGGGAAGGGCAAAATAAGAATATGACCCGCCATTATTATGTCCTTTATTCCACTTTTACATGGCCACACCCCGTATTCACGGACAACGTTTTACCCGTTCATTAAAAATGTGTTTGATACGAAGATTTATGCTATAATTTGAATTATAATGCGTGACTCGTTACAGTATTTTTTTATAAAAAATACACGTAAATTAAAAATAATTTTAAATTATAATTCTGAATTCGTAAACGTAATCAACTAGTTTGATGAAAAAAATTCTCATCGTATAGGAAAAGCCACGGACAAGAATATAACAATATATCATATATATCGCAGCCTGCATATAAGTCCAATACATTGCATTCCAATATTCGATGACAGTTGAAGAAGACATGTGACCCAGAATGATTATAATTGAATTGAGTCTCAATATCGTTTTCTCCGAGTTCTGTGATGTTTTTATCGATTATGACAAAACATATATACTAGTCATGATTTAAACCTATTTTATAGTTGTTAGTTTTCGTGACCACTCTTGTTACACTGTTTAATGCCCATTATTCTGGATCCAAAATGCTTGCTTTTTTTTTTTCTAATTACATAGAATCATTTTATTGGTAATTTATATTTCTGAATGTTAAATTTTAAGAAATATGCAAAACTGACACAACCTAATACAGATATGAAATTTAATTAAATCAGAATCCAACATTAAAAAACACTCTTTGTAGAACTCTCATTAAGAAATGCTAAAAGGATTTTTTTTAATGATCTTTTGCTATTATTATAAATATTGAAAGCGATATAAGTACTTTTTGGTACATAAAATATCAGTCAAATAGTTACAAAGTAATCTCTTCTAATCATTCTTCCCATCAAAAGATGCCCGTTCTAAGAGGTGCAATTTAGTTTTATTTCAATTATTTATAATATGCTATTTATTATGACATCACAGCAGACATACAAGTGTAACAAGTCTCAATCATGACTGTTTATGTGTTGGTAATTAGGCGAGGAACATCATTACGAATGTATAAAAGGAAAACCACTAGAAATGGCCAGGAAATCAATCTTTGATCCTGCAATTACTACTAGAGTGGAATAAAAGGTAACTTTTATATATATATATATTTAAATTTATGCGCGTTTAGAATAAAAATTTATATCATAATTTAAATTATAATTCGTGCATTATTATAATTTTTTTTTTTATAAAAAATACACATAAATTAAGAATAATTTAAAATTATAATTCTAAACTCATAAATTAAACGTCCACTTAAGATCGATATAGATAATTCCCTTGTGCCTAACTTTGGTTCATTATTATTTACTTCTAGATCAGATCAGCTCAACTTTAACAGATTCTAGACCTGAATATGAACCATCTAAACCAACTACACGTGAGCCAATTATCACTTCACAATTTCAATCGAAAATTGTGAGAAAAAAATGCTTTTTTTTTTAACATATTAATCAAATTTCAGTAATCGGACCAAGGTTAAAAACTTGAACAAAGTTTTGATGCTTTTTTGTCAGTTGATACTTGAAAGGAAAAAAGCAATGACCTAACTTTCAAAGGTCTAGATCGTCATTTAATCTCTTCTAGTGACTAAATTTGAGAATATATATTTACAGCTTAAAGTAATAAATGTACTTAATTTTGTCCTATACACAAGAACTTTGCAGCAGAAGAAAGCTCTTATTGATATTAATGTGTGTGTATGATTGGAAAGTTTTATGAGTAGGACATGTCATTTTGCTGCACGCAAGTGTTTTTAAACCAGTTCATTGAATTTTGAGAGTGTTTTTTATTATCA